TTAATTGCATAGAAAAGGACCTATACATTGTCATTAGATGAAAATGACTGAACCTAAATATAGCAGCCTGATAAAAATACTCGTTTTAGACTAAGATTTCAGATGGCACTTAGATGCTTTTGCATCTGAACTCTTCATATATATATATATACAGTGGGTACAGAAAGTATTAAGACACACACACACACACACACACATATATATATATATATATATATATATATATATATATATATAACAAAGTGTATAATTGTGTATAATTTATAAAAAAAATTTGAAATGTCAATTAGTCAATATTTTTTAAATATAGGCACATGGCTGAAAGAATGACTTGAAAACTATAGGAAACACCATTTAATGCAGAAGTATATGTGAAAGATTTTTTTTTTTTTCGGTCTGCGAGTAAATTCAACCTTTTTAAGAATCACCTGCTCTTTTGGAGTCAGCTTGTGTTTGACATGCTGATTTTTTCCATGTGGCTTACTTTGTACCTAAAAAAGAAAATAAATAAATAAAGCAACTTAGCCGTTTGTTTTGGTTTATGAAAGTTAAGGCTAAGCTGTCAAATTCCAGTTCCAGGTAGCAATAAGTAGACAGTATAATACCATGCTGAAGTTTCATGATGAAAATGTTCATTTTTTTTAGCATAGAGTTTGCATAGATGTGGCACACATGCACATGCCATTGCACATGATGTTCACTGCTTTATTTGCAAAACAAACTGTATTTACCCAGACAACAATCTTGTTTCAGTTGCACGACTCATACAAACTCATACCAACATGAAATTACATTGCTGTTCATGTAATCCTTCCAACTCAGTTGTTTGCGATTATCTATGGCTAACCACTCTGTTGTAATTTCCTGGAGGAATGCAGATATTTTGTCAGTGGAGTTTTGTCTTTCTATTGCCTGTTAAGTAACTAATGCTGAGAGTCCATTTACATTACATTCTCCTATAGCTGAACTGAAAAACATGCCTCGGTCTTATGATTTAAGTGAGGCATTTTGTCATTTTAAATCTACACAATTATCCTTTCTCCAGCTATGGGACTGTGGGATTGATTTACTGCCCAGCAGAACTCCATTTAAGAGTCAGTCTACTCCCATTCCAATCCCAAGAGTAAGGCAATGGAATAATATATAGCCATGTTTGTGATTAGCTGTGTCAAACCCTCTCTGTTGGCCTGGGTCATATATTACAACAGATTGCATTGCAGCTTACAATGTTCCCGCTGATTTATCTGCACACTTGATAACATTTGATTGACTCTCTAAAAGCTCCTTGTCTCAAATTCCCAGCATGCATATTTCTCATTGCTTGCATTTTGAACTTTATTCCTTGAAATATTTTCTTGGAAACGTCTTGGTGGTTTGGTGACTGATTCCATTTGGTTCTTTGACCTTTAGACATGATGATGTGGATTTTGATTGCAGGATTATAGAAATTTTGCAGAATATTTGGAGATTTTACTTACATATGCGGCCAGTGCTGAGACCAAAAAGCAGAAGAGAAACAGGCCTTTCTTCATTTCTAGAAAAAAAAAATTAAAATAAACAATAATATGTATGGATGTCAGCACAGTCCTGTGTCCTATCTTAAAACTTCCTGAAAAACTAGAAGTGACATGATGTCCCCATTCCCTATTCTTTCTATCTAAAAAATTCTGCTTTACTGCCCTCTGGGCCATTCTCACACAGGGTTCAGAGTTCTCCATCTGTATGCTGGACGTACTCCTGCCATGACACCCCAGCATAAATCAGCTGCCTCAGTTGTCATGGTAACAGGGCCCAGGAGATGTGCCCCACTCAAAAGTCACATTCAAAGTCCAGAGGGGCAAAGCAAACATCAGAAGCTACTAGACTGGAAAAAGAGTTGACTAAGTACACAAGCTTTTTGCTTCCTGCACAGAGACAATGTGC